TCTGGTCAGTTTGTTCTGTTACGGCCTCAGGCACTTAGGATGTTGGACCCAATTGCAGACAGGGAGACTAAGGTAAAGTATTGGTACGATACTTTATTTTTCCAATAAAACATAACAAGGAGAACGGAAAAACACCCACACCTAGACATAGAAACGTGACATAACATAATAATCCTGACAGAGGCCTCCAATCACGTTTACTTCACTGATTGGCCAAAATGAATCACTTTGAGCTGGTGTGTCACCAAGCCTGTTAAATATTATGTGTCACATTTGGCACTCTGGAGGAAACTGGCAGAAATCTACATAGTTTGGAAGAGTATATCCTGTAAAGTAGAGCTCTAGTTACACACATTTTGAGTTTGGTATTACTGAAGTGCCAAATCCTGCTCACCGTACACACTGCACAGAAATCGGCTACATAAGAATGTTTTTTAGGTAGAAAAACTTTGAAAATGGCACAAAAAGATACCAATGCAGCCCGTCCTAATAATCCCCATTCAACCACAACTTTCTACATGAGATAAGGGTCTTTGATAAGTACATTTTTTCCCATTTCTGCACATGTCAGGGAGATGGATAGTGTGTTGGCCTTAATTGAGGGATTGCCTGCCACTCCTCTCACTACACAGCTGATCTGTGTATGATTTCTGGATCAAGGTGGAGCTCGTGATGGATGTCCCGCCAGCAGCAGGGACACCAGACAAAATCATGTGACGTGTAATGATGTATCACACAGAACATGCCTCATGCTGAACCATGAGACAGGGGCTTCCTTCAAAATCTAAATACCAAGTAAGGTTACCAGGATCACTAGGATTATTTTTGAAAGTATTTTACAAATGTTTCTAGGGAAGATTTAAAGGGGCTCTGAAGCAGCAACAAAGTGCTCCCTGATTCCATGCTGAATTTGTTTTAAGCTGCATTACTAACAGAGCCCTATTGTGTTGCAGCATTAAAGGGCTTGTGCATGTGTGTGTGTGCATGTGTGCTAGAAAATATTTCTCAACTATAATCCTAAACATAACACTTTCCCTGGGAGAAAATTGCCCTCCGTAGGAAGTGCAGGAGGCATGTGATAGTGTGCATCCTGCAAATAAGCATGTAGCCTACATTTTTAAAGCTCTACATCAAATGGGCGTCATGCAGCATGCTGAATAATGTTATTGTCAAAAGTATCATTTAGTTTGAATTGCTAAGAGACATTAATTAAAGCTTTATAATCAAGAAATGAAAATGTTGAATGATGAAATCTGCAGGGTGTCTCTTGAATCTATACAATAATAAAAACACACACTGGAAGGCCACAGGGTGAAGCCCCCAGAGGACATCAGTGTGGCTTTAAGAGCACTGAGTCACACTCAGATTATCTCCAGCAGACTCTGCCAGCATGCATTTACTACTTAGACACTCTTAATCAATTTAGCATGTGTCAGGCTCTTCCAAAGAGAGCCAAGACGGGCCTGAGCCTCCCAAACATCGGCTGTTTGGGCATGGAGGTCGGGGGGGGCACGTCGGCAGGGCTGGCACGTCGGCAGGGCTGGCACGGCGCCCCCGACAGATGGCAACATGTGGCAACATTACAGGGCCGACAGACGGGGAATGAATCTATGACACCAACTGTGAGCCAATCACGAGCCAACAAAATAATCACTATGTCACTGAAATGTGAGAGGATGGGAACAACTCATACCGAGGCAACAACAACAACAGCACAAATAGATTGCTGTACTATTCTTCGGGATAAAGAAACTGCATCTACACATGATGTATGGATGTTATTTCTCGGCAGCAGCAGGTGTGTGGGACTCAGGGTCATTTTCTCTGTGGCAGGCGGCTCAGAGGTAATTCTGCCAAAGCCGAGGCCAGGAACAATGTCTCCAGGCGAAACAATACTGCATGTCTGAGTCGCTGCACACACCCTCCGCTTATATGATTTAAATCCAGTTAGCATATATTGGCACAGAGAGATAAAAACATCTCAAACAAAGGCTACAAAACTGAGCGCATGCAGAAGCATCATCACACAGAACATAATATTATCGTTGACCCGTGACACTGCACAGACACAAAGGCTTCAGAGAATGGATGTTTTGCTGAGCATTGTCATGTTTTCAGTAACAAGCTCTCATTATGTGCTGGTGTTGATGGAGCAGTTTTTGTTCAAGGCTAATTTTCTAGAAATTATACTCCTCGCTATCTTGACTCTGTGCAACTTTTCCAATCAGAAGTGTTTGCTCTGCCTCTGCAGTTTGTCCTTGGTGGAGGAGGTGAGCAATCTCTAAAAGGCGAATATTAAGAACTAGGTCAGAGTGAGTTCAGAGACAATGCATCTGCACAACTGTCTGAAGATCCACGACCTCCAGCGAGGCCACGGTGGCCTCTGAAAATGAGTTTGCAACATTTCGATTTCCTGAACGCACTGTGTATTTTTCGTCAACTCGCTATTCAAGTATTGTGTGCTGTTTCCTTCTTTTATGTTTTTAAAAACTATCATAGAGAAATGTTCCAGTCATCCTTGCATATTCCACATTGAATGTATTCATGAACAGTGGAGTTTTTCTTTTAAACATGTGCCTGCTAATAGCTTTTTTCCTGTGCACTTATTCTATTACCAATTCAGTGAATTTTGATGATCAATGTAGTTGTCATGGAAGCACTTTTAGGGATAGATCATCTGTCCTTGAAAACAGCCTGTTGAAGATAATTCAGCAAAGAGTGGGGAATATTGCAAATGCAGAACAATATGCTCTTTTTAGTGTACTGCATTTGAATGTTTTCATATTGCTTTGTTCTTATAGTGAGGTAAAGCACCAGTTCATATCTTGTTTTTTTGTGCAACGATCGCCCTGTGCCAGCCTCCTGCCCTGCAGCAGGTGTTGTGGTTGGGAGCATGGCAGCAGGCCCAGGCTGCAGCCAGGACATTTCTCTCTGCTTCATATATACCATGCTGCACTGATACAGCAGGCATGCTTGTGGAGGTGGAAATGAGTTTGTGTTGGAGCGATCAGACTGGCACCGTTCTGAGTTTGTTAACAGGCACATTGATCCAATTTAAAAGCTCAAGTTTGCAGCGAAGGAAAGTTCTACATTGCATTTGAACTCTTAGCACACTTCATGTTTCCTATTTATATTCTTAACTTAACTCAATGTAAACTAGTACACATATTTAGTTTATTGGTGTATCTTCCAAACATGTGTGGCTCTTTCACATTCATTGTTTCTATTACCGCAGCTTTCCTCGTCAAATGTAGCTTGTCCATGTGCCATTGCATATAAATTGTTCAGACATGATCACTCAGCAGCAAATACAGACTAATGTGTGTGTAGTGAAGTGCTTACGCTTACGCTGATTTAACTGATACTGTGCTAAAGCTATCATACAATCTCACAATCAGGCTCATTGTGAGATAATTGTGTGAAAATGCCTTTACCCGGAATACAGCCTGTTTCTGTATTTAGGAAATGTAATTATTTACAGTCTATTCAATCAGTCTTTCATTTCTTCCCAGCCTGTTTATTTGACATTTGTATTTGGTATTAGACTCTATACATCTTCTTAATGCAGCGTTTAGCTATCTATATTCATACAGCAGCACTCTGTTCTGCAGCCAACACACAACTCAACATCTGCTGCTGGGAATCTGAATTATGCCTGTGTGTGTGTGTGTGTGTGTGTGTGTGTGTGTGTGTGTGTGTGTGTGTGTGTGTGTGTGTGTGTGTGTGTGTATGTGTGTGTGTGTGTGTGTGTGTGTGTGTGTGTGTGTGTGTGTGTGTGTGTGTGTGTGTGTGTGTGTGTGTGTGTGTGTGTGTGTGTGTGTGTGTGTGTGTGTGTGTGTGTGTGTGTGTTGTGTGTGTGTGTGTTGTGTGCGTGTGTGTGTGCGTGCGTGTGTGTGTGTGTGTGTGTGCGTGTACACTCTCCTTAACGACAACATATGATATTACTGGTAGCATCATAAGTAAACATTGTGAGCGTGGTCACTGAATGGATGAATATATGACGAGGTGTGTTGAAGCAGGACTCGGTGTATGAAACAGATTTGGACTCGAGTAGGAGCCAGCGGAGAAACATTAATTAATCTGGCAGGCTGCAGGTAGAGAAAGCTCCAGAGAAAGCAGAGGTAGGGACTTCACACTCAAACAACTTGTGACATTTTTGACTAGAGCTGTTGATGAGATAGCGCAAAGAATTACCATGGTGTGTCAAAACAGGTTTTTTTCCCCCTGTTTCATGCTTCACAACAAGCAGCAATTTATAAAAAGAACAATGGAGGGGAGAAATTAGACTTTTCAAAAGAGTTTGTGGAAGTCTGATGTGTGCAGTCGCTTGTTTCTCTGCAGAAGGAACAGCTAGAGAGAGACAAAGCATATGCGCGAGACACGAAATGTGAAAAACTTGTGTTAAACCCCCAATGTGTCAAGACTTCATTTAGTCAGCTTTATGTGTGTGAATTACTAATGTTTTCTTATATCATTAAATGAGAATTAATAAAGCTGATCATATGAATGCTGACTACAAATGTATTCTAATAATTTATATACATTTACTTTAATGTAGGCAATTAACGTATACACATTAGCCCACATTGTGTTGAGGTGCTTCATTAGTTAAATGTATTTCAATGTTTTTCTTGAAAATACTCAAATTATTAATAAAAAACAAGACTTTAAGTTTAACAGCTTGCAATGCCAAGCTGGTCTTTGCATCCAACAATAGAACAGTGAGTCAGAACGAACAACAAGTAGAAGATATTGGAGATTTCTCAAAGAGCCTTTCAAGTACTTTGTCTAAAAATTGGTCTTAGGGTGTGGCAAGATGAAATAAGTCATTTTCTGCCAAAAAAAAGAATGTTAGGATCTTGAACTTGCAAGGCAAAATGTATGGCATCTAGAAATACATAACCTTCATAACATAAATATGGAACCAATGAATTTCCTCTGACCGGAAAACGTCTTCAAAACAGATTACATAAAGAAAAAAAGAAATGAGCTGTTCTTACCAAGCCTGTTGTCCAGCGCTCCAAAGTCCAGAGAGTATTTGACCACATGGTAGTTGTTCCAGACGTACAGCAGGTTGTCTCTGGGATTGTAATCCACGGCTGCGATGTACTGGTAGGAGTTGGGGAAGGGGATGTCCAGGAAGCCGTCTTTGCTCAGCTCCGTGTTGTAGATGTAGTCGATCTTGTTTCCTGTGGCCTCGTTGTCGTCATCCTCGTACACGGACTTCACCACGTAGAGGATCCCACAGATCATGAAGGCGTTGGAGGCTGAGCGCTTGTCGTAGGCCGTGTCCCAGGTGCCCTCCACGCGTAACGTGTAGGGGTTCAGCTGGCTGATGACGATGCGCCCGTTGTTCTGCTCGGTGGCGTAAATCACCCAGAGGCCGTTCTCATCCACAGCCAGGTCAATGTCCGACTTCCCCCCCCAGCGGTAGGGAGAGGTGTCGTGGTAGTTGGCGTTGGCGATGATGGCCTCGCCGCTCTTGATTCGAGTCCGCAGGTCAAACTTGACGATGTTGCGTGTGCGCTCCTTGTTGAAGAAAAGCGCCCCGTCGTACACGACAAAGCCGGTCCCGTCCACGCGGTGCGGCAGCTTGTAGGTGGTGGTCGGCCTCCCGGCGATGAAGTCCTCTTTGGAGGAGTACTCGGTCAGCGTGTCGGTGCGGTACGGGGTCCAGGGCATGTAGTAGATCTTATCGGAGGCCTGCAGCGGGTCTTTGCACCATGCTCCAGACTGGTGGTCCGACTCGAAGAGGTGCTCGCTCTGGTACACCCTGCGCAGAAGCCCTGGGCACAGAAAGACTGAGGAGCCAAAAGAGGGGAAAGACAAGTACAGAGTTACATTGGCAGGTATTAAACCTACAGGAGGTAAACACTGAAAATGGATGAAACCTGCAGCTTAATCTTCCACACTGTGAGATATTAAATCAGCAAGGTTGGGATTAAATGCAGTACATATTAATAGATTAGTTTTACAAAGCATGTACATTTAAATTAAACAACTATTCACCAAAAGCACCATTTTTATTATTTGTATCCATGTCTCAAATGACTCAAAGTGCTCATCTGGTTTCAGTTACTTATTGCAGTTTAAACATTCTGTATACAACACTTCTAGTTAATTTACGCTGAGCCTAAAGGCAATTAGTTCACAATGCCATTGAAAAAACAGAGTTGTAATAGAGGGAGAACAGATGGAGTGAGGGTTATTTCATTTACATTATTGTAAAGCGGAAACAAGACAGAAAATGATGTTGAAACACATTAAGAAATCTTTCACCAAGTTGATGAAACGTGTGCAGCGTTAATTCAAAGCACTTTAAAAACAAAACGCTGCAGGAAGCTCAAAACACAACGGAAACCAAGAAACACTAAAAAGTGATGCACACAGCTGGGACCGGAGCACTTGTTATAAATTAGATGAAAATCACTGTCACTAGAAACGTACCTAAAATGTAGGTAAAATTGGCAAATGCTTTGACAATGTGATCACATGATTCCCTCCGGTATTATTCCAGATCCGTTGTGAGCAAGCTAGTTGAAAGCTAACCTGGTCATTTCAAATATACTGACCAAACACCTACAATTACTCCTCGCAGCGTTTCGTTTAAACAGAGATCTTAGTCAACACTGCACATGTTTCGGGAAGGCGGTGAAGATGTTTCTTCATGCGTTTTTTGCAAATGTAGGTTTTTATATTTGCTACTTTTCTGAAGCTGCAGCATGTTAACTCCTAATGGAAGTGTTATGGGCTGTTGAAATGTGTTCGACTCATTCTGTTATGGTGGCCAATATAGATGTTAGAATAAATATAACAGCACCAGAGGAGAACAACACCCAGGTTGTTAATAAATAGTCATAAAAAGTCAAAGTTAAAACATTATAATAACTTGCTACACTGTGATTATTGTCTGAGGCAGGAGAAAGAAAACAAAAGGTAGAAAAACAGTAATTACATCATCCATATAATGATTGCCTGTCCATTATTTCACCCACATGACATTTTTGGTCTGCGGCATGATTTACAACACCGCGCAGTAAACTAATTATATGTGAACTGGTTTGTGCTGAAATCTGATAAGGCTGGGCCGGGCAGTGCAGCGGGTCAATAGTGAGTGGACACGGTGTGCGGAAACTCATTTCAGTTCATTATGGATTACCTTCCACTCAGGCAATTATAATGCTCCGTCTTTCTGAAAATACGTCTTTTGAATACAGGATTATACTGTCTTAAAAGTCAGAGTATTAATACATAAAGGTATAATCCTGAAGGTACAGGAAAAGTAAGTCGGAAAGCAAAAGAAGACAGCTTTCCTATTTTTCCACGTTTTGTTCGAAGGTAAATCCCATAAAAACAAAGTGTGTGAAGGGTGCTGTGTAATGACCCGACACAGTGTGACAGATGCATGGAGAAGTAAAAGCAGCGAGGAAGAGGAGGAGAAGAAGGAGACAGCTATAACAGAGGCTTCCTCCCTCCTCCTCTCTGAAGACTTAACATGTTGTCTCCCTGCATGAGGAAGACGTGACGAGAAGCTTCCCGTTGACATGGCACATCTCACTAAATGCTCAGAGGCATGTTTCTAAAGATGTTTCTACGGATGAGGATGTGCAAGAGTTCAGAGTAGGTGAGCTTTGTAATATGTGCTTTTTAAAGGAGGTGAAAGTTAAATGGATGTGATACAAAAGCAATCTTGGCTTTCATAGGGGAATTTGACAGAAAACATCTCCATAAAATCTTTTGACCCCGCCCTCCAGCTTCATTGCTCACTCTCTCTGACAAAGGTTTAAGTGATGTGTCATTAATTCATGACTACAATGAAACCTTAAATGTATTGCAGCGCTATTAAAGCAGAACCTTTCACTCTTGTTTTAATGACTCCATTTCCATGTTTGACTTTAATCCAAATCTGCAGATGAAGCATACCCACAATGCACCATGTGGATGTGATGTTGTGCAGCATCATGCAGCGTTGATAAAGGAAGATTGCTATGATCTGTTTCCAGTATTGACAAGAGAGTCCCTGAAGGTTATAGCCATCATCATGTTAGAGCTATAATCAAAAATGGTGACAGCTTATTGGACAGAGTATTGATCAGCCTCTGCTTTAATATTATGGAGCTGATAAAGCAGAGTGGGAATAATCTTCAGTTATAAGGGAGGGTAAAAACACCCCAGGGTTACTTTACTGCAAGATTGTAATGACCTTACCTTAAATAACCATCATATATGTGTCACAAAACGTTGATGAGTGAAGGTCCAGTGTCCCCATGAAGGGCATGCATGACAAACAATGAGCACAGATGTACAACATGTCCTGCTTGAGCACCCGTCACCGTAAAAAAAAAAAAAAAGCAAGCCTACACCCAGATGAGAATGCAGGTGAAAGAAAAGTTGTTGGCATTTAGTTACCTTTTTGTTCCACTTCTATTTTTAGGCGTGAAGGGAAAAGAGAGAGAAAGAAAGAGAACAGATTAATAATGTGATCACACAACTGTACAAGAAGAGCATGGTTAGTAATACACAGCATTCAATCATTAGCTTTAAAGAAGGAAGACAAACAGTGGTTAACATGCGCCTGTAGGAAGAAAGACAGATTATTCAGGTTTTGAAATTGCACAAAGTTTTGCAGTGATGGCAAATTGTAAAACAGATGTATAGCACGCGACTTCTCCAGAAACATATGGCCACTTAGAAGAAAGCTTATGAATTTTAGGTAAAACTGCAAGAAATAAAAATGCGGATTTCACACTTTCCATAGATAATAATGTTATTTTTTACCCAATAGACAGATGAAGCTACCTAAATACATGATGTGATATTTTCAATGGTTAAAATCATTTAGAATATCTTCATTGTTGACTGCTATAACTAACTTATTTAATCATAAAACCACCCCAGTGAATAACTTACAATAAGTCAAATATTATTTGTAACACAATGTCTGAAATTGTATGATTTATTATAGAAATGAGGCATTACCTCATTAAAGAAGTGCCAAATTGCAAACATTTGGATCACTCCATGAATCTCAAAAATAACGTCAGCCATTATAAAATTGCATTTAGTGCACATGCAAGACATTACCGCAAGTACATTAGAACAATTATGTTTTACAAGTTTCATTAAATGTTGTGTTTAAATATGCAAATGAGGCATTATGTAATGCTCACTTTTGTTGAATTAAGGAGAAATCTGCAGACAGAAATAGAAAATGTTGGAAACATATACTCCTTAATGTGGATTTTGGACGTTTCCTTTCTACGAATATGAGAGAGAAACGCCCCGAGATCTCAAAATAGAGCATGAACAATTGTTTTTTATGTGCAATGTTTTTGTCTCCTATGTAGCAATATCAGTTTCTTGCTGATAAGTACATTATGTGCATCAGCTTTAAAAATGCAGTATGCCCTTGCAAACAGTCAATAGAGGAAAACAAAACTGTATTTTGTTTGTTTAAAATGTGAATGGCTGCAGGGTTAAGTGATTCTAACCAACACACTCTCACTCCCTAAGCGTCCAGGAGCGACGTTTGGTCAGTGTCCGTGGCGTCCAGTTGTGACGCTCCTAGGCTCCTTCAGCGTCATAAAGGGACGCAAATAGCTTTCAACTGATTGCAATGTATTCCCATCTGCGGCGGGATTTGACGCTCATGGAAGCACGGCATTCGTTTGTGTCGGCTGCCCTTAAAGGCAATGTGAGCGTCCATTCCCATTGGATAACGGAGAATTGTATACCCGGAAGTAAGTATTCCTCTTACTGTCGATTGATTTTACAGTGATATCTGCACTACTCATCGACTAAAAAACACCAGATTATCCTTGTTAATTACACAACATTGATTGGTTTAAATTGTGTGCAATGCTTTTGTATTTTCCCCCTTCGATTCGGAGAAACAAATATTTTTTTTCGGAGTAAAAGATGGCAGAAGACACTACACTACCCAGAATCCCCAGCTATCGTTTGGACTACACCATGTGCTCTGTTTGATGTCACGTGATCTTCAAATTTCTCCCTGCAGAAAAAGAAAACATGGCCGAACTTCGTTTTATTCTCGGTGGAAAATGCCTATTTTAAAGTTAGTTTGGCCATTAAAATGCGTTTTGATGTCATTTGATGCGAGAAATATGAGTTGTTATTTCAGATTATGTGTGCAGTGGATGTACATGATCTTTAGTTTGCTAGTTATTACGAAGATTACTTCAGGAAATCGCGACGTTTTCATTGTTACCAAGGTGGTTGCTAGGGACGCTGCTATCGATATTATTTCTGTTATGTTGTGTAACTTAATGGTGTTATCTTTATTGCTACCCCCTTCCCCGTCAATGTATAGTGTTGGTCCACAGCGCAAACGTCCGCATCTAAAGATAGCCTACGTTATTTTCCCCTGTGCAATTCCAGTCTCACATCTCACAGCACATCGTCATTAACAAATACCGGAAACAGACCGAAAACATTTTTTAAAAATAATACTTTATTCCGAGTGTGCTTGCTTTTCTCTTTGGAAGTCATCACATACCGGCATTGTAATACACGGTTCGGCTGCATTAAATATTACATATCTGCCGTAGTTCTGTATTTATAGAGCCCTGATGAGAAGACTTCTAGACAAACATGAGGAACTGAAAACGTGACGTGGATCATAAATATATCAGCCATTAAACAACATCTTACATTTATTTTCACACAATACGTCTCCTTGCAGTATCAACACTAATTCGGCTGACTTTTATATTTGATCCAATTGGTAGATAGGCTGTATTTACACCATAAAGGTGCACAGCTGATATAAAGGGACAGCTAGTGGTTAAAGCATGTTATTGAATTTCATTATTTTTATTATTAGATATTAATAGGATCCATATAAAGTATATTAATTACTCGTTATTCTCTACTAATAGTTAATTAAAGACTGTATATAATGACTATTTTGCACATCCCTTTCAAGATTTCAAGATGTTCTAAGGTTTATTGACATATCATATACACAAACGGTGTAGTTATGCAATGAATGAAAAACTTGGGTCGCAGGTTCCTCAATAGTGCATTACTATCTATCTATCAATATTTGTGCGTACCTCCAGCAAAGTTAACTATGTTGAAGCACTTATTTGAACTGATATTATACATAATGTATTATACTCTTATAAGATGTATGTAGATATTTCATCTCCGGCCTTGTCAGGTATTGAACAATCAATAAATAAAGAACACAGAATTGTTAAATATAAAACACAGAATTTGTGTGATTATACTAAATGATTTACAAATAAACACCACTGCATATTTAACTGTTACACATGCTGATGTAACGCAAATGTTCCAACTTGAGATCAATAAAGTATATCTTATCTTAAGCTGATCGATGGCTACTGCCATATTTGCAAAATTTGCCTCTGAACCTTGACAAGTGCATGTTTCAGGCTTTTCAATTAATGTAATGTAATGTAATGTTATCAATTAACAACAGGGGTCACAAACATAAGACCAGCTGTTAAATAAAGCTCTTCTGACCTTAGCTGGCATGTGTGTATATATATTAATGCTGCCCATTATGGGCACAAGCAATTTTCTCCCATTTATTAATTATATGTTTTAAATGTGAGTGTTTCCTATCCCCTAAACCTCCAGGGATGTACACAGTTTAATACTGGCAACTTCTTATTATGGGAAATACGAAAACGTCTTTTAAAACTACAACTCTAGAGACGTGCCATAGATAGAGAACATGTTGCGAAACAGAATAGCCAGCATGTGTAGTTCTGGGGACAGGGTGGGGGAGGGGGGGGACGCGGTGGACCCGTTCAAATCCAGTTTTGGACAGTCTGCCGTGATTCCATCCCATTTCAAGTGCTGTTCGAGAATTGGCGTAACCCTCGGAGCACACTCTCCAATCACAGAGCTTGAGGACTATCACGGGGTTTGTCAAACAGAGCACATGGTGTAGTCCAAACGATAGCTGGGGATTCTGGGTAGTGTAGTGTCTTCTGCCATCCTTTACTCCGAAAAAATATTTGTTTCTCCGAATCGAAGGGGAAAAATAATTGCACACAATTTAAACCAATCAATGTTGTGTAATTAACAAGGATAATCTGGTGTTTTTTAGTCGGTGAGTAGTGCAGATATCACTGTAAAATCAATCGACAGTAAGAGGAATACTTACTTCCGGGTGTACAATTCTCCGTTATCCAATGGGAATGGACGCTCACATTGCCTTTAAGGGCAGCCGACACAAACGAATGCCGTGCTTCCATGAGCGTCAAATCCCGCCGCAGATGGGAATACATTGCAATCAGTTGAAAGCTATTTGCGTCCCTTTATGACGCTGAAGGAGCCTAGGAGCGTCACAACTGCACGCCACGGACACTGACCAAACGTCGCTCCTGGACGCTTAGGGAGTGAGAGTGTGTTGTTCTAACATGTATTCTGAGAGCCTGTAGAGAAATGGCTGTGGTTAGTCCATCTAAACTCCCTTCTCTCTGGACACGTTTTTTTCTGTTAGTCCTGGTATTTTTTTCTGCTCCTGTCCCCTTCCCCTGCAGTAATCCTGCCTCTAATAAGAGAGGATTAACCTCTGTTACCAGGGCTTACAAGAGTCCTCTCCTCCAAATGGAGAGAGTGGCTGAGGGGAGGGATGGAGGTCAGTGGGTGGGCTAGAGTTTGAGAGATGGGGAAGTTATTAGAGGAGAACAATCATAATGCAAGGCGCTGGAGCTGGGTCAGGCGAGGGAAAGCCGAAAACAGTAGTGTTGGTGGGAGGAGGGGGTAGGTGGGGGGGTGTGACAGATAATAAAACTGTACACTGGTACAGCACCTCATCAACACGATAAGTCCATACAGAGCTCAGGGCTACACCTCCATCAACATCACTGCAACTCAAATCTGCCCAAAACTGTAAAAAGGCACGTGGACGCAATCGATCAAATCAAAGTGACGACGCCCCCCCCCCTCCCCCTCACCTCCCATGAGCTGCGGACACACAACTGGGAGGCCGAGGGGAGGCCGGCATCTCTGATTGAGCGATTGCTAACATGTCAAGGGGGGAGCGGGGTAATGATCTATAGAAAAAGGCATTAGGGGATGAGTGGTACATTGCCTGGAAGGATTTGGATGAAATCCCCGTCAAGGAACGTACAGTATGAATGTGAGCATGAAACACCGCTGGATGCAGCAAGGTCACCTCAGGATCACTCAGAATAAGTATTTACGTCACCACAAACACAGCACCACCTGTGATAGGAGCCTGGAAATCCAGAGAGGAAAGCCGAGAGCAGAGCGACACAGAGAATTGATTCATTCGAGAGCCTTCTTTACTCCACCCCTCAACTACCATTGTGACCTTAATGCGATTTTGGTCACGGCTGTCATTGAGTCACTAAAAAGCACTTAACTCTCTCTCTCATCCTCTTCTCTGCCTCTTCCTCTCT